CTCTGGTTATGCGAACTTGCGAACTTTATTTAGTTGTGTAATACTTCTTCCATAGGCATGGGTTACATTTACTATAACTGGGAGAGAATGATGAGCGTTGAACACCAAGATAGTAACGTCAAATATTTTTTGCTTGTCTTTTAGGGTCCATATATATTTTGAAAGTTTAGTTGTAGGCCTATTGCGTTTATTCTGTAGTTCGAATGATGATTCGGGTTGGTTGAATTTTGTCTTGAATTCTCACTCAGTCAGGCCTATGTAATCCTTTTATTCGTTTGGTGTTTCCATTGTCACTTTGTATATTATGCAACTGGTTATAGCATTTACCGTCCAATGGACATCGGTTATTTAGACTGCAATTGCATTAAGATGAGTTTTTTTTTTTATTTCATTTAGTTTGCTAAGTATCATTTGGTTTTGCACGAATAGCTTACTTTGACATTGTTTTTGTTGCATATCTTGTGAAATGGGTGGTGTTGGTGGTGATGAGACTAATGAACTTTCCGACGACGTTGGTGGCGACGTTGTTATTATATGGTGATTATGATATGTCTCTTTCAGTTTGTTTTTGGTTCTTTTGCTAAGTGCATCCTGATATGTGTATTTTCTTTTGTTATTGACGATGGGTGGTTGCACCACACGTGTTGGTCCAGGCGTGTCGTTTGGCTTTCTGAGAGGTCTGTATGTACTCGATTTGTGATGAAAGATAATCTAGAAAATTGACCGATTTTAGGTTGGATTCGAAGACAATTTTGAGTTTCAGTGATTTGAATTTTGAAGTGAGGTCTTTCTTTATTTTTTTTTTTTCAATTTGTTCTGGGCTGGTGTTTCTAAAAACGGCTAATCCATCATCAGTCCAAAGTAGCAAAATCGTATTTTTTGGAGATGACATGGAGAATGTATGTTCCAACAATTTCGCATGTTTCTGTACCATCATTTTTCTTCCATGGAGTATCATTGTAAAAAGCAGGGATTACTTCGATGCCATTATTATCTCCATTTCGCTATGTTGGATGTCTATGTGTTACAAATTCGAAAGGTTTTCGTAGCAGGTCTTCTGTTATTGACGTGTAGAATTAACGCAAGTAATGAAAGTGCAATTAGGCTTGTCTTGTTTGGTGCTGTATCAGCTTATTATTATATTTATATCATTATTATTATTCTGTCCATTACCCTATTTGTTTGCTGATAAAACCAATTTCTGGTTTTGACGGGTTTGAAAGCCTGCATGGTATTTTGGTAGGAAATGAGGTCTCTTGGTCCTTGATTGTGATGACTACTGGTTTCCCATTAACGTTGAAAATGTATTCATATATATTTATAGCATTACTGCAAAACGATTTGGAGGTTATCTTTATTATTTCATGGTAAAGCTAATAATAGGCCTCTATGCAAATCATGAAATAATACAGATAAATTCTAAATCGTTTTGAACCCGGGACCTTGTACTGTCTGTCTATGCAGTAGCCTTAACCAACTAGGCAATTGAGGCTTTGTTGGGAATTCTAATTTGTTTAAAGCATCTAAACTTTCACACCCATGGCCATGCGTATTAAAGAACACTAGTCATTTATGTATAGCAAATAACACAGATCAATATTATGACTATGATACGCCCTCTCCTCTTTTAAGCATTTGACAACAAGGCGAGATTTCCAAAGAGATACTTTTATGGATAAATCATGAAATAATATTCATCTAGATGTGTATAAGAGACAGTATATATAGAGGTCCCAGATGTTGGAACGTCTCTTTTTAACCTTCTTCTCATATAATTATAATTTAACCATTCTTGTGATGATCAGACCATACAGCTATACAAAAAATGTAATATCTCCATATACATTCAGACTATTAGTTGCAGGACTAATAGAAGGAAGTAAGAGAAATAGTTTCACTTAAGTATTGAGATTTTCATTAACATATCCCTTTCATGTTCTTTATATACACAGGATACTGAAGTGTTGAAATTATTGGAAAAGGAACATAACACAGGTTGTTACTATTGAATTAATATTTCAAAAGTGGTATAATTTCAAATCTGTATTAACTTAGACCTCTGTGGTTAAATAAAATTGAACTTGAAACATCCATAATTCTGTTATACTTTGCTGTTTGTATTATTAATTGTTGTTAATTTATTATTAATTATTTTACTATATAACAATAATCGGCTTTTCTTCATTTATAATTTTCTAGAATATATAAATGGGTCTATGTTAAACTCTTTTATTGGAATAACAAAACTCATATAGCATCACAAGTTTTAATTATCAGAAAATTAAAACTTCCAAGAGCTCTATCAGTATACTAAAGTGGCTTAACAAAAAGATCATGCTCCAAACGTATGGGTGGTAAACGATGCCCACAAATAGATTAAAATCGTATTCAGGCACCAAAAACTATCATTATTCTCATTTGTGTAGTGGTCTACCGTACTAATTATAAGATACCATTAACTTTATAAAGTATTCTTGAAAGCTCTCTTTGCCCTTCAGTGAAATGGCCCTAACACAAACAAATATCCAATTAAGTAAACAAAGAATATTCAAGCCAGATACAATAAACATTGTACAGCACCAAAATATTAAGTGCAAACATTTATATATATATGACATCTCCATCGTTGAAACTCTATTAATAAACCGACAATGCCAACTTCAAGAGTACAAGAAAAAAGAAGTCAATATGTTTGAAGGTTTTTGATTCTCTTATGAAAAATTAAAAAATGTGCATCATGGGTCCATTGAAACATATGCTTAACTGAACATTTTACAGAACTCAAAGAGGAAAGAAAATTCAACTAAATTAGATGTTAAAAATGGAACAGATACTATACAAACTGAACCCACTATGCAATATAACGATGTTTTATTGTAAATATTGTGCCAATTCAGTTCTTGTACTTAAATTAATTAAATTCGAACCTTGATAAATGAAACTAAATAAGTAGTAATACAAAAAATGTCTATATTCTATTTTATTATATTATTATTATTATTATTATTATTATTATTATTATTATTATTCCGTCATTTCGTATTCTTAAAACGATAGACTTGATTAGCGGAAATCAAAACTTTGACTACATTGTATATGAATACAGATTCACGTTAAAGATGCAACTAGGAATAGTTTAGGGTTTAGTTTGAAGTTTGATTATAGTTCGTTTTAAGAATATGGGCGTGGTGTTTAATTAAAATATATAAATTGATAATCTGCTACTGACATGTTACAAACAAATTTTATCATAAATGTATACAGAATACCTATCGAAGTTATTTAACCTTTAGCTTCAGAAAATTATGAGAGATGTATGTGTCACGCAATGCAATGTAATAATTATGGTAAAGCAGTGAAGCGCCTTGAAGGCGTGAATTCCAAAATGAACGTCAACAATATTAATTCTTCTTAATCTCAGGGATGATTGCTGAGGTAACTTGCATTTGGGACTTTGCTGGTCCGCCGATCTACTATATTACTCACCCAGTAAGTATAGTCATGATAATATGTTTCCCAATTTTACACTTGATGTCCCTTTTAGAGCAGCTACATAAAAAGAAAACATATACTTAAGTAGACCATAAAAATGGACCTGTGAGTTGGATATATTGATTATCAGAAAGCCTTTGATTCAGTAGAACATCAAGTCGTGCTCAAAGCATTGGAGAAATAATAAAATAAATTAGATGTCAAACTGATAGAGAATAATCTATACTGATGCGGCAGCAGGTATACACCCGGGCAAAGACATTTTACAAGTAATACAAATAAACAGAGGAGTGAGACAAGGAGACACTATTTTACTCAAAATATTTACAACTTCAATGGTAAATCTGCTCTTTGCAGATGACGTCGCCATCATCACATCTTCTGTAGGTAATAATGGTTTACATAAAGAAAAAAACAAAATACATGACCAAATATGAAACAGTAGACACCATACATATAGAAGGACATCAGATCGAAAAGTTTCAGAATTACAAATATCTCGGCCAGGCAATACAAATGGCAAATAACACAGAAGGATAGGTCTCAATAAGGATTAAGGCTTGATGAAGAGTATTTGGAAGATACAAAATTAATATATTCTTTGTAATAAGAACTTACAAACGAATCTCAGACCAAAAGTCTACAACAAGTGTACACTCCCGACGACGACCTACGGTGCAGGAACTTGGACCACAACAAGAAAAATGGGGAAAAACCACTTAAGTAGCAGAAAGAGCAATGGAAAGAAGGATGCTTCACATATCACTCAAAGACAAAATCAAAAATAACATCATGCGTCAAAAACAGGAGTTAAGGTATTCTGATCAAAATCAGGGAAGCCAAGTGTAGATGGGCAGGACACTTAAGCCGTAAAGATGACAACAGATGGACAAAAAGACTGACAGAATGACAAACTAGAATAGGGAAAAGAAGACAAGCCAGACAAAAGAGAGAAAATGGAGAGATGATGTAACTACATACATGGGCACAACGTGCGCAAGAAACACCAAAGACAGGAAGAGATGTAAACGCCATGAGGAAGGCTACATCCAACAATGGATGGACATAACCTAAATAAAGTAAATTAAAAACTCACTTAGGTTATGACATGTCGGCCCTACCTAGATATAAGCACGATAGTGAAACAAAACAACAAGATAAATACTTATACTAGTATGTTGTAGTAGTTAAAAAATATATTGTAGTTATAAAACTCTTAACAATTCCTACAATTTGTTTTAGAATTCTCTGAAAAGCGATGCTGTGTATTTGATTGAGTTCAATTTGATGGAAAACATGCAAGGAAAGAAAAGGAAGTGTAAGATCTCTAGAATGGTAAATCTTTATTATTTCCATCTTATTTCAGAGTATTTTTACATATAAAGTATTGTAGTCGGTATTTTATATATCAATTTTTATTTAAATTAACAATTAATTCAGTTCTGCAGGTCTTGTTTTAAAAAGTACTGATCTTTATTTAAAAAACTATGTGAACTTTTCATTTTTTCATCAGGCAAAAGAAACGATGACAAATGAAATGACAATCATACAGATTATCAAATATCGAATGGAGTTGATATTCACGTACGCCGTCCAAGCTGAACAGCAGCAACTAAAAACAAAGAAGCCTAAAATTGTGGTAGTTGGTACCCACTTTAAAGGCACAAGTGATGAAAAGGAGCAGGTAAAATTTCTTTTTAATCTAAATCTCAAAAGCGGGGAAGAAAATTAAAACTTCTAATAATTATTTATCCATTATATGGCGTCTTTCTTTGCAGATACAAGGCGTTTCTCTCCCTTAAAAGTTTAAAAGAAATAATGAATAAATACCGGTATCATATGATAGGACTACGCACTACTATAGGCTCACTAATACTAATAGTATATCTATATTGGGCCTGGTGCGAACTAGTTCGGCAGTATTAACAATTAAAAAATCAAATAAAAAAGGCATAGGCTAGCATAGCAACTTCCTTGGTCCCTTTGTAAGCCCTGTAATGTTATAGTATTACACTAAATCGTGAAATGTGGAACAGCGCTGCCATTTTTTCGATACTCTCATGAAACTAGTGCAAGGCAAATTTTTAGGACTTTTATTTAGTTTACATTTGTGGTAAATTGTGGTTTAAAAAATCTTATTTTGGATTTTCCATATTATAAAAAAATTCTCTACACTCATTTTCAGACTCAAAAATTAGTTTGTGTGTGATCAGTACACTTTCTGTCCATGAAGGAAAAACTCGTCATATATTGAGTTTCACACCTTCGGGTATTACATAGGTTATCAGTCAATGCTGCTGTGTCTTCGCGCACTGCACTGTCTTTTGAGTAAAAGGTACTTAACTGCAAACTCGCACTTAGTATGGGCTGCTGGCGTGCTGTCCTTGCAATACCTGCCTTTGGCCTTAATATTCAGAACATTCCATTGTGATTTTCTGAATTGTTCGCTTCACAATTTTGCATTCATTCGCTGCGCAATTTATTTCACTTTACTCAATATAATTTCATTTACCATCAGAAACATGACTTTAGCCTATTTTAATATATTTGAGGCCTCTGCAGAATAGTCAAAATGAATAACGAGGGATTGAAACCCTGACCTCAAGGTTGGGACACCGAACCGCTTTCGCTGTGCCGAAATGCAATATGCACTGTCTATTGCAATGATTGTGATTTCTATATTTAGGCTGCAGAACAGTTTAGAATATTATTTCAAGAAATCAAAAGCACTCCTTATGAAAGTTACGTGGTGAGAAAAATGTACCTTATCGACAACGAGTCTTCATCTGGAAGCAAGTTTCAGGAAAAACTTGAACAAGATATTTGTGGATTTCTAAACGCCATGCCAAATACGATTCCACTTACATGGTTTAATTTACAACGTTTATTACAAGAGATGGGTGAAAAAGAAATGCACGTAGATTATGATGAGGTACAAATCCATTATTTCATAAAATATTTATTAACGATGAAAAATGTTTTGTTATTGACTATCTTGTAATTCTGAGATCTTCATCAGTTTTCTTAATAATCTGATATAAAATGAGTACTACTAAGTAATTTAGTATTTCCTAAATTATCAATGTCTTTATTGTTATTTTGATTTATAAAGTAAAGTGTATATTGTTTTACTGAAGGTGTGTAAAGTTGCCACTCAGTGTGGAATTTTGAAAGAGAATCTCAAACATACTCTCAACTACTTACACGATCTTGGAATTGTCATGTACTTCCAAGACAATAGACAATTAAGAGATACAGTGGTATTAAACCCACGGAAGGTGAGTAATATCACCGAGGAACTTATCACAGCAGTTAAAACTGACGATGAGATGGTGAGTTAACAAATTAAAATGATCTATATACATATTTCGTTATACATCATTCAGTTTTTAGTAGTAAAATGAAATAAAATTTAAAAATTTACTCCTACGTTTAGGTCGAACTATGGGACAAACTTGATAACGAAGGTATAATCGATGAACGATTAATCAGACATGTTTTGAGAGAAGAGTTGAGCGAAGATGAAACTGGTGTCTTCTTGGAACTGATGAAGCAATGTGGAGTTATGTGCGAGCAGATCAAGGTTTGTTTATTAGTAATTTGTTTTTTATGACTATAACACTAATGAATGTAATCTTTCAATGTCATGTTCAAACTGTTGTAGGTTGATATGTCTTGCTATTGTTGTGAGGTTGATTAACACATTTAAAATCGACTAGAAACGAATATCATATACAATTTTCGAATTATCGTGGACTTTTTATTGATCAAACCGTCAAATAATATGATCTGCACTCGTACCACGTTTTGCGTTTTTCGAAAGATCCGTTTGCTTTCTCAAGTTGAATTATACATTTTGTATCAATAAATAAGAAAATTGTATAATAATCTTATTTTATGGATCCAGATAAAATTATTCCCAGATAGAAATCTCTGCATTTTATTTAAATTGAGTTTTCTTTTAATTTTTAACAAGATTGAAGATAACGCACCTCGCTCGTTTTTCGTACCCTGTCGATCACAACAGAGTGAGGACAAAATGGCTATTACACCGGACAGTGATCAGACGGTATCTATCTACATGACTTCAGATGTCTTTCTCTTCGATAGAGCCTATCACTGTCTAGTTGTCTGGTTGATTGAAAATTTGCAAGCTATAGGCTACACCACCGCACCTAAGTTATTCTACAACAAGGCAACCATTGACCTAGGCCAAGATCACACACTCATCTTAGGTCAAGTAACCATCGGACACAAGCCCTCTGTGCAGGTATATATTGCATGATATCAATAATTTGTTGATTATTTGAGAATAGATTGTATGATACTAACAATAAATGACACCTCGGCGTCATTTCATTTTCGTCACTTTTGTACCAAAACATGCAACACTGGCTAAAGTAAAAGAATACACAAACGTACGTTTTTCGCCGACAAGATTGACACAGCAAACATTTATCTACAATAAATGTCATTGAAAGGCAGTAATACCATCTAATCTTGGTTTCGAGATGCGGAAAATGTTTGAAAAAAGTGTACAGACAATGTGTACGGTATTATCCATAAGTATATTTAATGGCGACCATATTCACGAATGTGGTTGATATTAGGAAATGAAAGTGCCAAGCGCCAATACTTATAAATGACTTAATATAAAATTTTTCTATTTGTATTATAAGCTTGAAATATCACGTAAGTCTGAGACATCGGAGGCTGGTAACCCTGCAGATACAAGAGAACCAAGTCCTAATGTTTGCAAACGGGTAATATTATTCGACTTTAATGATTATGTAAAATATATTTTTAAATTAAGATAACCCAATAGGTAGGCCTACCATTGCGAACATAATTTGTATTCTCTTATATTTCATAATGTTTATAGTTGTTTGTTTAATATTTAAAGGTGTTGGAGTATTTGAAGGGAGAGTTGAAAGCCTTGACGTCTACAATGAATCACACTAGTACGTTTCGTGTCCTGTGTTGGTCAGGTCACAATCACTTTCATAATATGGAAGAGTGTTTGAAGAGTAATTACATCCGATGCGGAAAGGAATTTCTAAAAACAAGCAAACTACATAAGCTGTTCAATAATAAGACAGGTTGGTAACATTAATCTCACCCCGATCCCTTCTAAAATATGATATGTTATTTGATACTAATGTATATTTTAAGGTGACTAGTTTGAAGTTTCCGACATTACAGTATAATGCCTCTCATAATTATTTACTTGTTGCTATATTACTATTCATTTGATTTTAGATTGTAATCACATTCTAGCAGATGACGATCTGCTTCATATCAGCCGAGAAATGGGAAGCGAATGGAAACAGCTTGGGGTTAGACTGGGTATCAGCTGGAAAAGAATAAATCAAATATCTATAAATTTCTGTAAACAACAGCCAGACTGTACAATAGAGATGCTTACAGAATGGAAGGGTCTACAGAAGTACAACACAAATCAAGTGAAAATAATGGCCAAAGCTTTGATGGATGAAAAACGCATAGATCTTGCTAACTCACTCCTTGCCTCACAGCGCCATGTAACACACCATGATGGTTAGTAATGTATTACCAATATGATATGATCTTGTATATTTGATGATTTTTGTAGGCCTATATTTGATATCAAAACATATATCCAGTTGATTGAACGATCCTATCAAATGTAGTTATTGATTCCGTGTTAGCTTGTTAAAATTAATCATTGAACAAGAACAGTTGCCATGCCTTAAAGATAAAGTATCTTTGCTTAAATCATTATCGGAATCTGGGTTAATGATATCATTTGAATATTTCTCTTAGTTCAATTACTTAAATAAAATACAGTCATACAAGGTTTGTATAATGAACATTCTCATAACATAAATTTTATTTTGTTCTGTTCATCTAAATGTAAAAACCATTATAAAAACTCATCACCATTTAAGTTGGTTTCTTTAGTTGGACATCGTACTGTAGCTAGTACATGTACCTGTCCTATCGTGGGCGCATAATAATGTACCATATTTTAATCGTTAGTTTCCTTAAGTTTATGCAAACAAATTAAAGAGACATGTTGATGTTATAATTTTCATTCAGGTTACTTGACGGATATCGATATGCTGTGTGTCGCCAAACACCTTAATAACGATTGGAAATCACTTGCCATATATCTTCACATGGAGCTTTCCGAATTAAAACAAATTCAGACCAATTTTGAGCACAGTGTAGACGCAAATTTAGAAATGTTGGTTAGATGGAGAGAAAGACAGGAAGCTAATGGAAATCACTTCGAAATTATAAATAATGCATTGAGAACAATTGACAGATTAGATATCGTTGAAATTCTTCAAACATACAGGAACAATTAGATAGGCTATAGGCCTATATTGATAAAAAAAAAAAAAAAAAAGACGATTTATAATGGTTTGCTATGTAATTCAGTTGGACTTTTGTGCGAAATTGTATTTTATTGACTTACTTTATCATTTTCGTTTTCAAAAATTATCTACGTCATCAGCAGCCATTTATAATTAAAGGTAGATGACGTAACACATCAAACATCCAATGACACCAACGTGCCTGGTGTTATTGGAAAGGTAATTATACACTAATCAATTAATTAGGCCTATATTACATCTGTACCAAATAATGTACAGAGATGTAAACCAATAGAGGTCACATGACTACGAAAGTTCAAAGGTAAAAATATCAAACTCACCTGATGTTTTCATGTTTGGCATTGTTAGAAGCTTCCCCAATGCTAAATGATGTTTTACATTACACACATATCAGAAACTGAAGTTTTCCATATTGCCCAATAAATGTTCAATTAGGGCATGTTAAAATATAGATGTATGTGTAAGCACATGCGAATCAGGAACTATATAAACAATCAATCATCCAACCTAATATAATTTATACAGCATTAAAACAACGATCAACCAAGAACTTTGAAAAGCAGCAAATATTTTACATGAAAGTGTTTGATAAATGAAAATTGAGTTACAGATAGAGGGTATTTTCATTATACCTAGACGATATTCAGTAAGGTTATACTAGCTGATAGAGATCAACAATGTCGCAAACAGCAATTAACCAAGTATATTTAAGCGATACTTTAATGAAATAATAATGCAATATCTAGTAGGCTTTATGGTAAAAATGATGTTGTCAAATTCAGTTTCTTTGCTATAATTGTTGATATGATTATTCAACCAAATGTAATTTGGACGTCGCTTTTGTAATAACTTTTCCACAAATGTTGTGAAAAAAAAAAAGTGTAGGCCTAGATACTTTCCACGTAAATTTCCTAGAATAATGTTCATATAAACGATTCTGTATTTTGATTAATGTAATATTATCTTAATTTATGTGTACATAAATATGAAGTTAGGCCTAGAAGATTTGTACTTCTAAATTCAAGAGTTGTTGGAGTAGTTTCGATTAATTCTATCGACAATAACATTACCTAGTACTTTGAATTATGGGTTTAAATGCATTATAATAGCACATTATATGCATTTTAATGTTTATAAGCCTCGCTTGTCCAGTGGGTAGTGGACAGGTCACGATTTATGTCCGTCACGACTGAGCACATCGTTGCGTGACGACACCTAGTAGATGCTAAATTTAGAAAAATCTGTCAACGATTAAGTCCTGGCCTATAGGCTATATAATGCTTAAATATAGATACATAGAACTCTTTTATATTTATGCACGTGCTTATATATATTGTTGTTTTACTTTACAGTTTAAACCGGTTAACAGTTCATTAGTTCATCGGAACTTCAATCGGAATATTAAATCAGATAGGCCTATTAAATGCTACAATTGTGTTACTTTATCTACCGTGTTTAAAGTTAATTACGCCCTCTACAATTATATGTAGCGTGTATGTAGCGATACTATGAAAGAAAATATGCAGACGGTTATTACATTTTGAACGTTACCAATAAGCTTTATTAACACGTCTCCATGAAACGTCCGTTACAACGAAAATGTGGAAATATAAACCTTGACGTAGGCCTAAAGGTTTCGTCTGTTAGCTTTTATGTTTACAGTAGCTTTGGTGACCGTACTGTAGCGCCTTGTGTAATATTGCAGTAGATGATATTATTATTATTATTATTATTATTAATGAGCGCACTATTAGAAAATACTGACACAATAATAAAGTTTTGTAAAAAAAAAAAATAGTGATTTTGATGTCACAGTTATATATTTCCAAATTATTTATATTTCCTTGAATACTTGCTTGAAGATTGACTAGATGTAGTTACTTTATCTACCGTGTTTGAAGTTAATTACGCCCTCTACAATTATATGTAGCGTGTATGTAGCGATACTATGAAAGAAAATA